ACTCAGTCTGTCGTGCTCCTTTAGTCTTTCTGACTTCCTGGTTTACAGTGTTCACTTGTTCACTTTTCTTTTCTATTAATACTCTGCCAGCCTTGTCCCTTTCAATTCTATCACTGACCATCATTTTACTATGTTTATACAAAACCTAGTTGATTGACCCCATTTTCTCTTCTGGCTAGCTGGATGGATGGATGGATGGATGGATGGATGGATGGATGGATGGATGGATGGTGCCTAGATCTATATGACTGGCTGTGTGCCAGATGAGGAGTGTACTCAAAAATGTTCCTTATATTCATTGTTCAGGGCTCTAGTCAAATGACTATTAAGAACCAAACTAAGTCTTTGACATCCCTCTGAAACAATCAGACATATTTTCCCAGCTTTATCAATAGGTGTATACATTGTTGGCAAGTATCTAAAGAAAAAAAAAAAAAGCGAGACTGCATTGAATGGTCCATTTGTTTAACTAGCATTCACTGAATGTTAACTTTCTATGTATTGAATATTCTCTGGGGTGCTTAGAAGTTATAAATACTAATAAAACATAAAACTTGGCCTCCCAAATGTCATGGTCTAGTTGACAGGCACAGGCAGGTTGCTCATTATTTAACAACTCTATGGTTTTGAATTTGTTTCTTTGTTAAAACTTATTTTTTAAAACCAGGTGGTGGTAGTGCATGCCTTTAATCCTAGCATTTGGAAGGCAGAGGTGAGTGGATCTCTGAGTCCAAGGCCACCCTGGTTTACAGAGTGAATTCCAAGACAGCTAGGACTATGCAGAGAAACTCTAACTTGAAATAAAACAAAGCAAAACAAAACAAAAAACAAACAAACAAACAAAAACAAAAAGAAAAAAGAAAAAAAAAAAACCTAACTAACCAACCAACTTATTTTGAGTGGCTGCAGAGGTGGTTCAACAGTTAAGAGCACATGATATTCTTTCAGAGGATTTGGATTTGATTCTAGTATCCATATCAGGCAGCTTATAATTGTCTATATCACCACCTTCATGGTGTTCATTGTCTTCTTCTGGCCCCTGTGGACCCTGTACAGACATGGTACATATATATGCTCTCTTTCTCTCTCTTGCACATAAAATGAATAAATACGTATTAAAATTTGATTTTTTTTAATCCCCAAACCTAATACTAAAAACCTACTGTTTTTGAGGTTTTGGGTTTTGTTTTTTTTTTTTTTTTTTTTTTTTTTTACTGTTTGCCTCAGTCAAAAAAGACTTAGGTCAGTCAGCCTAATGCACATTAATTCCACGTGAGACTGAAGGAAATTGACTTTTCAGCTCTCATACGGTGTCCACTTTGTGGGTTACCCTGTACTGCACTGTTCTCAGCTCTATGCTTTTTGTTGACAATTTCACTGTCTAAAGTGGCCACGAAGCACAGAGCCAAGTACTACACAAAGGCATATAACACAATAGGGCTATGGTGCTTGAGAAGGAGGAAATATGCAGATTAGGTCTGACCAGGTACAATGCTACTGGTACTGGAGTCAATGCTAGCGAACCAGCAATGTATATTAAGTGTGATGTCTGTAAATAGAAAGCATGGTGGCTTGCTGGTATGTAAATGAAACTGCGGCTAGATGCTTACAGACACCGAATCCTGCATCTCCCTTAGAAGCCATGGTCCAGTGTTTGAGCAACCTGCTCCAGTGTGGTGACTTGATAACACACAGTTATTGTGACTAAGGAGAATTGACTGTTTAATCAGTTGAGTCCCCAAACACAGTTAAGCGAGGGTGACTCTGACGGCATGGATGCAGTGTTATGGAAAAAGTCATTACAGAGGGATAGCTTTTGGGTCCTTTCTTTAAAAATATGAACAGAGGTTCAATGGAGGATCCTGAATGGTAGATCATTCAAGGATTGGAGAACTGTGTGTGAAGAAGGGAATATGAAAGACCTGACAAACAAGCGCCTAAAAGATCAATGAAGTCAGAGAGCCTTAGTCATAAACTAAGCCACAGGCAGGAGCTTTCAGTCGGTACAAAGTTTCTCTGCATAGTTTAAGCTGTAGTTTTTGTATCAAGGAAATATGCAGCCTGTCAGCTGTGAAAATTGGCTCAATATTTTCATAATCAAGTCTATTATGCTCCTACTGAAGCCTGGCCCATGTTTCCGTAGAAACCCCTAGTTACACAAAGGGACCCTGGCCAGCCATTGGCAAAAAACCCCTCAGTACCCCTGGAGGCTACTAAAGTAATTCCAGAGGGGAAAGTACAACATAATTCCTGGTGAGACCAGCGAGCTGAGACAACAGAGTATTGTTAGCTTGTAGCATGTAGGACAGAGAGCACTACAGGGAGGTCAGGATACAAAATCCCTCAGTCTCCTCAGCATGCCTACCTGAAAAGATCCTGCCTACCAGTGCCTCTGCACCTAGCACTCACCTGACATCTGGTACACAAGAGGATGACATTCTAAAAATGCTTCTGCTACCCCCCATTCTCCCAAAGCAATTGATATAGTCCCTCACATCAACCTCCTAATTCCTGTTTTGTGGACAACAGCACCAAATGGCAGTCTTCTTTTTTAAGTCTACACAGCTTGTCCCGAGGACTTTTAAGGAACCATCAGCTTCTTTATAGGCTACCTTTCTGGGTCTCTGCTCCTTGCTTAGGTTTGCACTGTCTGCTGTACTGGGGCATCTTCCTTGGTCCTCTATGCTTATTCTCCTTGTCCTATTTGCTGCCTATTGAATGCTAGGTTATCTCTCAGAGTTTAACAAGCCACCTCACAGCTTCTGCTCCCACAGTCAATTCCTTCTACCCCAGCTTTGAATGGACAACATTCTTAATTTCAACCTCTTTGCTGTTCCACCTTGTCAGAGCCTGGGCTGGCAGCTTTTCCAGTTTTCAAATGCCTGGGACAAGTCCTCATTCATCATTTAAGTGAAGTTCCTGGCATTTGGTTGATATGGTCTATCAGAACAACAACAATAACAAACAACAAAACAAAATTAAAACCCAACACCCAAAGAGGAAATCCTTGAGTTTAACTGAATTAAGATAGTAAGGTTCACGTAAACAAGCATTTGCTGTGGATGAATCCCTCTGAAACAAAATCTGAACTCACTTGCCCCTAATTGACAGTTAATTCCACTGTAATCTTTATTATGACAACTTCTGGCTTTGTCATTAAAACTACTGATAAAGTTGAAAGACTACTCCATCTGATTATTGTGTCTTAAGAAACACTTAATTATTAAATTCCACACCGATAATTAGAAAACCTATTATTTTATAATGGGCTCAGCATTACTACCTGGGTATCCCTCAATTACCTAAACAGGAGCTGCCTCCAAGTGTGCCACAGTGAAATCTCACACATAAAGTAATGGCTACTCACCACCATGAGCTGTAGTACTAGAGATGGAGAGTGTAAAATAAAAAGCCTGCTAGGCTTCCAAAATGATAGTGTTCGAGGAATGATTGGTATCTGCGGCTGATTCACCCATGACCTTCCCAATGCCTGGCCAAAGTTGACTGTAGATGGAATAAGTAAAGGAGAAAAGAAGCTGGGATAGAGGTGTGTGTGTGTGTATGTCTTTGTGCATGTGTGTATGTGTCTGTGTGTTTGGTAGAAACAAGTCAAGGCTGAAAGAAAAACAAATTCTAACAGAACCATAATACCATAAAATATATTGTCTTCAGAAGGACTGAGAATACAGGCTAGTGCAAGACAGGGGGCCTTGCAATCCAAGGACCATTTCCAAGTGGGAGGCTATATTATTCTAATTAGACTGTGCCCCTCCAGACCCTGTCTGAATTCTTGCCAAATTTGAACCAAACCTTCCACTAAGCAGTTCCTAGGGGCCTGTCAGAAACACAGACTCTGTGTCAGAGCCTCTAGAGGCTTAGGCAGAGCAAATTGTTCTTGGAGACTCATACTGGCCTCCGGAAGGGCACAGTACCTGATAAATGCTGGTCCTGAAGCTGCATTTTCTCCTTCAGCTCCCAACCAAAGAAGCTATGGCAGTCAGCACAGGGCCTGACACTCTATGCAGGTTTAATATTATATAAATTTTACAATGATCTTCTCTGGTTGACTGACTCGGGAAAAGAGCAGTCACACTAGGGGTCTGCAAAGCATCCCCCCTCCAACCTTCCCCCCCCCCCCCCCCCCCCCACCCACCCACACACCCACACCCACAC